CTGGATAGCCAAAATAATGCTTTTTTAAAAGATCAATTAAGAAATGTTTAAATGTTTAACAACAAAACTTTATGTGAGGAGTAATCAGATTATTTCTTAATTTAGACCAGTATTTACACTAGCGAATCTTTTAAAATCTCAGACTCAGCCTTTTAATGCACAGGTCTGTGCAGAAACAAAAAGAAACTACACCCTCAGTCCCAGCTCAGGCCCCTGATCTGCTACAGAGAAAAAGGTCTTTGCCACTGTATTTTTACAGCTAAAAGTTGATATTAAGAGACAAAGTGAAATTAAGAGACGAAGATATTTATAACATCTCACAACTCTCTTGTACATCTTGGGTTAATCTTCTCATGAGCTTCCCTGATGGCTTAGTGGGCAAAAAATCTGTCTGCAACCCAGAAGACACAGGAGATGCTGGTTCGATCCCAGGGTTGGAAAGATCCTCTGGAGGAGGAAATGGCAACCCACTCCAGTATTCTCGCCTGAAAAATCTCATGGACAGAGTAGCCTGGCAGGCTGTAATCCAAAAGGTTGCAGAATCAGACATGAGTGATTAACTAATCACAAGCACACGATCTTCTCATATGTTACCCCTGAATAAGTATTTTCTCTCTGATGGTATTGTGGTTAAAAGCATAGGCTATGTGTTTAAACTGCCTGCTTTTGAATCCTGGCTCCAGTATTCACTAGCTTGGGACCCAGGGTAAGTTATTTGCCTCATTTGTAGAATGGGAATAAAAATGTTACCTATATGACAGATTGTTGTGAAGATAATGCGTTAATATATGTAAAAATTAGCACTCAAAAATGTTAGCAATTTTGATGGTGGTAATAATGACCTGAACTTAATTACAGTGTACTGAGCATTTTACATTCTGAATTTCACTTCCCAAGCTTCGGAAGTCCTAGGCTGGCATTCTTAAAGGAAGCAGTAATTGTAACTTGCCCATACTTTGGGACAATGGTTGACATTAGCTGTTCAGGTTTCCTCAATTTCCTACCCCTCTTTCCTCACTCCTGGAGTGCTGAGCAGGCTGGAGTCCCACTGGGTACACAGCTGTGAGGTCTCCTTGTTGGGCCAATGGTGTGGCCCACTTTTTGTGTGTTGTGTTAGTCGCCCAGTCATGTCGACTCTTTGTGGCCCCATGGATTGTAGCCCACCAGGGAAGACCTGTGGCCCACTTTGAGGGCCACAGAAGGAAGTTCTATTATCCCAAGGAAGAAAGAGGCAGAGAGAGGGCAGATTGCTCTCATTTTCTGGAACACACGAAATTAGTTAGAATAATTCATTAATAATTATTTTACATTGATTACATTTTTCATTGATGCTGTTTGGATATGTTGGGTTAAATAAAATATTTTAGTTAATAATTAATTTTGTCTTTTTTTTTTTTAACTTTTTGTTGTGTGGTTACTAGAAAATTGGAGAAACGCTGGACTGGATGAAGCACAAGCTGGAATCAAGATTGCCGGGAGAAATATCAATAACCTCAGATATGCAGATGACACCACCCTTATGGCAGAAAGCGAAGAAGAACTAAAGAGCCTCTTGATGAAAGTGAAAGAGGAGATTGAAACAGTTGGTTTAAAACTCAACAGTCAGAAAGATAAAATCATGGCATCTGGTCCCCATCATTTCATGGCAAATAGATGGGGAAACAATGGAAACAGTGACAGACTATTTTGGGGGGCTCCAAAATCACTGCAGATGGTGACTGCAGCCATGAACTTAAAAGACATTTGCTCCTTGGAAGAAAACCTATGACCAACCCAGACAGCATATTAAAAAGCAGAGACATTACTTTGCCAACAAAGGTCTGTCTAGTCAAAGCTATGGTTTTTCCAGTAGCTATGTATGGATGTGAGAGTTGGACTATAAAGAAAGCTGAGCACCGAAGAATTGATGCTTTTGAACTGTGGTATTGGAGAAGACTCTTGAAAGTCCCTTGGACTGCAAGGAGATCCAACCAGTCCATCCTAAAGGAGATCAGTCCTGAATATTCATTGGAAGGACTGATGCTGAAACCAAAACTCCAATACTTTCGCCACATGATGCAAAGAACTAACTCGTTGGAAAAGACCCTGATGCTGGGAAAGATTGAAGGTGGGAGGAGAAGGGGACAACAGAGGATGAGATGGTCAAATGGCATCACCGACTCGATGGACATGAGATTGAGTAAACTCTGGGAGTTGCTGATAGACAAGCAGGCCTGGTGTGCTGCAGTCCATGGGGTCGCAAAGAGTCAGACACGACTGAGCGGCTGAACTGAACTGAATTTAGAAAATTGGAAATTCTTTCTGTGGCTGGCATTTGTGGTTCACAGGGTATTTCTATTGGGCTGTGCATGCTCTCTTAGAAGAACAGGAGAATTTCTGAAGGCAACCAGAGGCCTTTGCCTTGTCCACCAGAGCACTGGTTAGGATGTGTGGAAATGATTCCTGCCTTGGGTGGGAGATTGGTGTAGGCCATTTCTTTTCCTATTATTAATTAATAAATTTTTTATTGTGGAAAAAAAGCATATAACATAAAATTCACTCTCTCAACAGTTTCTAAGTATATAATAAAATATTGCCACCCACATGCACATTGTTGTGCAAAAGATTCCCCCGACCTCTCATCCCAATCCTACATGACTGAAACTCTACATCCACCAAACAGCTCCTCCTACCCCTCCCCCAGCCCCTGGCGTGCACTGTTCCATTTTCTGTTTCTATGAGTTTGACTACTTCAGGTACCTTCTATAAGTGGCATCATACAGTATTTTTCCTTCTGTGACTGGGTGTAGGCCATTTCTGAGCACAAGTTTCATGTGCATCCAGTAGAATAAAAGGACATGGAGAAAAGCACCCCCCAGAGACCCATGCCAAGTATTCTGAAATAACAGAATGTAAAGCACCATTCCATAGCCTTGACTTTTGAATTGTCAGCTAAGCCTTCCAAGAAATAAATTAATTCTGGACAGTGTAGCATTTCATAACATTTAAAGTGCTATATAGATGAAAGTTACAAGTACCAATAATCTATGGATAAAATAAAATTAGTTAATGGTCTATATAAATGTCCTTATTAAGAGATTACTTGATACTTCCCATTTAAGGTACAGTCAAAATATCTGTTTTGTGACAGGCATCATCTCTTTCTTTTTAAGACTGTGGCAGGTAAGAGTCAACTGTTTATTCCCTGTAGGAGCAATCGTGTGCTTCTGAAGATTAGGAAGTGGAGATGCTAAAACTCAGAGTTCTCCTTTCTCTGTAAGAGGTCAGCACTTGCTCAGATACAGCCCAGGCTCTGCTACCAATGTTACATTTTAGGAGGTTCAAACTTACAGCATCATGGAAATAACTGCTGGTATTGCCTCCAACCAGGACAGCACCCAGCCCAGAACCTAGGCAAGGGGTTCCTCCAAGCAACCAGTCTTTCCTCTACTTATCATCAGGAACATATTATGAATTTTAATGACAACCAAGAGTTATACTTCCAATATACGGGTAACTTGGGAAGCCTGTAAACTAGGTTTTGTTGAACAAGACAATGAACGCTCTGGATTTCTGCAATGTGGACCCTTCTCACCTGGGACCATTCTTAATGGCCACTGGAATGCTACTGGTTGGGCACCACATTTTGCATTGAGAGAAACAGAAGGCAGAGCCTGGAGAACTGGCACCAGCTGATTGGGGTGGGGTGGAGGACAGGACTCCAGGCTAACTACAGCTCAGGGAAGTCAGATTGTAACTGACAACTATCCCAAGGTGGAAGGGACTGCTTCTTCCTCAGACAGGAAGCCATTCTAGCCTTGTAGACCGGAACTGGCTCTAGGCTGGCTTAGTGGAGGGCCAAGACTCCGTTTCAGGGGTGCTGTGTCGCTGTATGAGAAACACTAGCATAGAGATGCCCATTTGCTGGGATTAGGGAAGCAGGAAGTGGAGTAAAGGTGAGACTTGAGAAGGGAAGGCGATAGACTTTTACATATTAGGTCATATTTTTACAAGCTGTGGGAATCTGCGTGGTGGTGGAAAGGGTGGGAGTAAGAGGAGAGAGTGCAAGAAGGCTGCACGGAGCTCGGCTGTAGAAACCAAGTGAGTGACTTACTGTGAAAGGCAAGGAGCAGACGGCGAAGGTGATTGTCATGATAGCCAGGAGAATAAGATGGTCCGTCTCCTCCGCCATGGATACCCTTTCTGCCCTCCTGTGGCTGCTGCCCAAGGAGGGTCCGCAGCGGCTTCTCCTGCCCCGGCGGTGCATGTGGATGAGGTTGACGATGACACTAAAGTTGCAGGCGAGCACGGCGATGATGAGCAACAGCAGCAGAGTAGCGTAAAGCCGCAGGTACATGGTCTGCTTGTGTCCGATGAAGCACCACGTCCCTGGGCTGTACTGGGCATACTTCCAATGTTCCAGCAGCGGCAGGGAGCAAAACAGCAGGGAGACTATGTAGATAGTGGGCAGCACAGCCAGGCCACTGCGGCGGGTGACCCGGCGCTGGTAGAAGTAGGGGTGTCCGATGGCTAGGTAGCGCTCCAGGGCCATGGCGAAGAGCATGAGCATCGTGGCCAGGCTGAAGAAGGTCATGGAGAAGGCAAAGTAGGTGCACACGCGCCTGTCTGGCCCCAGGGCCACCAGAGTCCGGTTCTGCGCATACGAAGCCAGCACCACGGGGCTGATGAGGCAGGTCCCAAGCAGGTCGGTGAGCACCAGCTCTGTCACCAGCACGTGGAACAGCGAGATGGAGTTCCCGCGGCCCGCGCTGCGCCCCGAGTCCCCCCGCCAGCGGCGCACCAGGAGCGCCAGCGCAATGAGGTTCCCCAGCACCCCGGCCGCGAACATCGCGGAGCTGATGGCCGGGCTTTCGCCTGGGGGGAGCCACCGTGGCTCTTCGCGGTTCTCGGAATGGGAGTCGTTAGAAGTATTGCCCATGGTGGGGTGCCGGGAGGAGAGAGGCGTCCTCCTCTCCCGCCGGCGCGCACCTGGCAGGAGGTGGGGTCTGAGAGCCCGAGTGCTACGAGACTCTGAGCGAAGGGGAGGGACCCAAAACCAGAGCCTCCTGCCGGTCCCCGGCGCTCAGCGAGGGCGGGCTCGGCCCGGGTATCCTGCGGCTCCGGGAGAGGCCGCGCGGCTGCCGCATCCTACGGTGCTCCAGGCTCCTCCGGGGACAAGCCGCCGCCGCCTCCGCGTCTCCCGGGGTGGCGGCCGTCCAGGGGCGAGAGCCGGCGGGCTGCCGGGAGGTGGACGCGTCACACGACGAGTCCCTCCGGGCGCGCGGGGGCGGGGACCGGCCGGGCGAGGGGCGTGGGTGGCCGGTGCGAGCAGCGGCCCTGGTCCCTAGCTCAGGCGGCTGCCTGATGCCCAGAGGCTGGCTGACCACCGCTGGGACGCCTTTAGCCCCGGCCGAGGGCTTGGAGGGAGTGCGGGGCACAGTGTGGGCTACTGTGTCCGCACAGTATTCACCGAAGGCAACGCGACTCAGCAAGAGAGAAGCTGGGGAAGACCCAGTACCGTGAGACGTGGAAAAGAGCGGAGCAACAGACACTAAAGACGGCTTGCAGTAAGACCAATGTGTTTGTTTGTTGTTTGTTTTTAACATTCTCAGGAAGACACATCAGGAAGGCGGGGCCAAAATTAGGAGGAAGTGAGAAGCAAGCCCGCGCATTCAAGCAACCAAGCCATGCATGCCCCGCCAAGCTGTCTGTTGCACCGTCGCTTTGATTCGGTTCCCAGCATTTCTCCTTTTTCTGTGTCAACACGGTAACGGATAACCACTTGTTTAAGCAACCTTTTTTTTTTTTTAAATTTCTTTGTAATTGTGTAGAATTGTGTTTGTGGGTACAGCTTGAAACCACCGCCCATTGTTCTCTACCCAAGCTCAGCTGCGAAAGAGAAATATTGTTCAGCCATACATCCCCCCCCCCCCCCCATGTTTAGTTAACCGTTCAGGAGTCCTACGGAAAGACCCGTGCCTGGAAACGTTTATTGGTTGGTGACAGTTTCCGAGACTGGAGCTGACAAATATGGTTTGGTAGTTTCTTACTGCCTCCTGTCATATATGCAGTCATGAAAAAGAGCTGATGTTTACAACAAACATCAGTTTGACAGCCAACATGTGCTGTGCTTAGTCACTCAGTCCTGTCTGACTGTTTGCCACCCCATGGACTGTAGCCCGCCAGGCTTCTCTGTCCGTGAGGATTCTCCAGGCAGGAATACTGGAGTGGGTTGCTGTATCCTCCTCCAGGGGAATCTTCCCAACCCAGGTCTCCTGCATTGCAGACGGATTCTTTACCTTCTGAGCCACCAGGGAAGCCCGCATGGGTAATTACATTCTATAGGAGGGTCATAGGCACTTGGGGAAGGGAGGAGGCCTGGGAGGAGGATGGATCTGCCTAGGAAACTGGTGGGGTCGGGGGTGGGGTGGGTTGGACAGGGCTGGGAAGTCATCCTGTGGGAGTAAAGGAAAGATTGCCTATTGAAGATCACCCATCCCTTCCTGTAGCCAGCTTGTTCTCTATGGCTATTATAGCTCACTTTGATGATTCTGGCTTGGGGGATGGGGGCTCTTGACAGTGGATTGGATTGGGGATGGGAATCCCAACAGAGCAGGCTCACAGGGGTATGTTTTTCTCATATAATCATGTGAGTAGTGGTGGGCTGGTGTGGCTCCAGGTCTCTTTTCTCCAGGGCTGTGATTCCTAGCATGCTGACTTTCTGTCTCCATGCTCTTCCCCAGTGGTCAGCAGGGTTCAACAAGAGAAACAGAACCGCATCATCACAGAAGTTCTATTGGACAGGGTCGCCTTCGACCTTGCATGGTGGTGGGAGAAGGTAGAGGAGCCTAAGCAAGGCCGTTTGCTGTCTCCGGTTCTAGGGTTGAGAATGGAGTCACTGCAGATCAGCCAGAGGCAGCCGGATAGAAAGCTGGGTGTGACTGGGAGCAAGAACAGACTTAGAACTGGAAGGGACAAGGTGGAATTCACGAACAGCTGTAGTCTTCAAAGGCAGACTAGATCTGAGCATGTGTCTCACTACTCAAAACTTTGATAATGGAGAGGCGCTGCAGGAGAAGCTGGTACCTTTCATGGAACTGTGCAAGCACTTGGCTTATGACCTGGTGAAGCTGAAGATCTCGTAGGAGCTGAGGTCTGGGTGCTGCTTCACACCAGCAAGGAGAGCCAACAGATCAGCTACAATGTGCTAGAGTTACCACGATGCCTGGAGCTCTGCGCTGTCCTTCAGAGCGTGAAAACCGTGGCCGCTACTTCACTGTTGTCTTCCAGAGCGCATGCAACACTAGAACCATGCAGGATTCTAGAAAACAGATCCTGTTTAGCTGAGTTGCCACAATACAAAGTCACCACACTGCCCCATTGGTCCAAGGCATTAAGTCCGTTGTGTATGCTTCAGCCCAGAAATAATGTTATAGAAATAATGTACTACCTCCAGTAGACGGAATCTCAAAGTACACAATGATGTTACAGAGAAATATATACAGATATACAGAGAAAGCAGAAATACTGTTCTCGTTGCAAGAATCCAAAGGTCCTACCATTGAGAACTGGTCTAATAGATTTTGATACACCTATGCAACACAATAAAAAATCATTAGAAAGGATGATGTGTATCTGTCTTTACTGATAATGTGGAGTTAAAAGCATGTAAATCATTCCATTCATATAAAATTATATGCATAATTATTTGCACAGAGCAGCATCTAGAAGGATGTTCAGCAAAATATTAATGGTAATTTCTCTGGGTAGTACTTTTTTCTTTATGCCTTTCTGTCTTGGTGAATTTATCTATGTATTACCTTGATATCAGGAAATGCAAGGAAGCTGCTTTTTATTTAGGAAAAAATTAATTATTGGAGGACTTTTTACTACTTGGTGGAAGGCAGGAGGTTAAATGCTAATGTTTTCAATTCTCTTCCCATTCTGTTCCTTAATGAATGGGAAGGTCTTTTCAGTTTCTTGAAACTGATCGAGAAGGTTGTCCTTCTTATTTGAAAATTGGAAATCATCACACATTAGGCAGCATTTCTAATGACATGGTGCCCTGCCCCACTGAAGTGACTGCTCTGACATAGACTCTTGGTGTCTGTTAGCTAGTATCATTGCCAGCTCGGTTCTGATGCTACCGTTACCAAGAAGTCATAAACATGGTAGCAAGAAGTCAACTAAAGGGTCAAAAAAAGAAGTCAAGTGACTAGAAACTAACTTCAAGACTCATTCGCAACATTAAGGGAAATTATGAGGGGAAACTATGAAATGGAAACTATAAAAAAAAGAACAAAATGGAAATTCTAGAACTAAAACTTGCAGCAGCTTGAGGTTGACAGATTAAAGGGTGAAACCTGAAGACTAATCAAACCTTCCTTTTCTGTCATCAAGACTTTCGTGCTCCTGGGAAATATTCTCACTTTTTCCGTACCACATAAGGCTTAGAGAACACTCGTTTGCTGCTGCTTGCCCTTCACTTCTTTACCCAAGAAGTGAAGCATGGGTTTCCTATGCTCTCAGATCCCTCAAATCTCTGAGAGGTACAGAGCAACCTTATCTAGGAAACCCTGTGTTAACATCTAAGCTTCCCCGGTTCTCCTAAACTTCACCTTCCCTCATTCATGTCCCATGAAAGTACTAGGGAGGGAGAAGTGGTGAAACTCTGCTGTTTCTTATCACCTCTGATCTGGGTCTTGACTTTTAAAAGTCATAAGGTAAGAATTGACGCCTGTGTTCTGCTAAGATTGTCCTTTCTCTGAGGCAGTCAGCATAGAACTCCCTGCTGCTGCTGCTAAGTCACGTCAGTCGTGTCTGACTCTGTGCGAACCCATAGATGGCAGCCCACCAGGCTCCCCCGTCCCTGGGATTCTCCAGGCAAGAATACTGGAGTGGGTTGCCATTTCCTTCTCCAATGCATGAAAGTGAAAAGTGAAAGTGAAGTCGCTCAGTCGTGTCCGACTCTTAGCGACCCCATGGACTGTAGCCTACCAGGCTCCTTCATCCATGGGATTCTCCAGGCAAGAGTACTGGAGTGGATTGCCATTGCCTTCTCCAATAGAACTCCCTAGCTACTGCTAAAACTAGGGGATGGTCTGAAGTGTCAGGAAGTACTGGGCAAAAAAAAAAAAAAAAACAAGCATAAGTTAATATGCCAAATTAATGCCTGGCTATATTTACATCCATATAGGCCTGTGTGTGTAACCAGGGCTTGGTGGGACTTATTACATCCTCACAGGATTGAGAAACAACTTGATAAGTCTTTGCAAACCAGAGTCAATAAAAAGTGCTTTACAAATGAATGTGAGAATACAACAGTTCTCTTGTCCTCAGACAGGAAATATGAGAAAGGTAAATCCACAACTGTTTATTAGCACAAGGTGTTAGATTAAATGAGTCACTCCAATAATGTTAGGAAGTCAAATTACCTGTGATTCTAATTTCCTTTTTAAGATTGATAGAGGACAAAGAATCTAATATAATCAAGAACATTTTCTTTTACCAGAAAGCTTTGTGTCTAAGAACAGAACCAACTATAAGGTAGAAAAGCACATATAACACAAAAGTAAGGCTATGGTTATTCAACTTGTTTGTATAAAGTATCAACTCATTATAGAAATTTTGCAAAAATAGAAGAAAAAAGTCACCCATGAGTGAATCCATCAAAAATGGCCACTCTTAACATTCTGATGTGTGTTTCTTTCCATTTTTCTGCTACATACATATTTTTCCCCCACTTGTGATATTATATGTAAATTTTTCTATACTTATTCTTAAAAAACTTAAAAGTATAATGATACTGAGCATAAACCCAGAGAAAACCATAATTCAAAAAGACACATGCACCTCAATTTTTATTGCAGCGCTATTTACAGTAGCCAGGACATGGAAAAAAACCTAAATGTTCATCAGCAGAGGAGTGGGTAAAGAAGATGTGGTACATATGTACAATGGAATATTACTCAGCCATAAAAAGGAATGAAACTGGGTCATTTGTGGAGATGTGGAGGGACCTAGAGACTGTCAAACAGAGTGAAGTAAGTCAGAAAGAGAAAAGCAAATATTGTATATAGACGCACACATGTGGAATCTGAACAAACTGGTATAGATGATCTTATTTACAAAGCAGAAATAGAGATATGGAGGTAGAGGACAAATGTATGGATACCAAGGGGAAAAGGGAAGTGGGATGGATTGAGAGATTGGGGTTGCCATATACACACTCTTGGTACTCTGTATAAAAGAAATTAGTAAGGAGGACCTGCCGCACAGTGCAGGGAACTCCACCCAGTGCTCTGTGGCGACTTAAATGGAAAGGAAATCCAAAAAGAGGGTATGTGTGTACACATATAGCTGATCCACTTTGCTCTACAATAGAAACGAATACAATGTTGGAAAGCAACTATACTCCAATACATTTTTTAAAGTATAATGAATACCTTATACTGAAATACATATTCAGTTCAGTTCAGTCGCTCAGTCATGTCCAACTCT